GTGCTGGCCCATCGCGGCTGTCCCGTTCAGGCGGCACGTCTGAGGCGCCCTCTGCTGGGCAGATCCGGAACCTTGGGAAGGCGAGAGACTTCTCCAGAAAGAACGTGACTTTTAGCAGTTTATTAGCTTAAAACACCTGAAACCATGACGTCCTGATGGAGGGGAAGGGTGTGAAAAAGCAGGTAAGTTCTAGAAAATGTCATTTTTCTTGGTTCTGCCCTTCTTCCCCCTTTTTCTGATGTTTTTGGTGAAAGTATCACTAGCTCTCGTTTCTAAGAGCTGACCGCCCAACTCCCCACCTCATCCTCCATCCTTCCTCCTCTTCTGTAGCTGAGGGAGCTGAGGCACAGAGCAGGGAAGTCACTTGCTCCAAGCGCACTGCAAGTTCCACCGGGCTCCAGAGACCGCTGCCCTGTGAGGCCTGAGGACCCTCAGCTCTGCCTTTTCCAGCTGCGACACTCCCCGCTAGGCTCTGAGTAGGGCCAAAGGTCTCACTTTTTCCTGCCTGCAAAACCTCCAGATCCAGAGCAGCTCCTCCGTGACCTGTCCCTAGGGGTGGAGAGCTCGCCCGTCGTGGTTGCTTTGAGGTATCCTTGCCCTAGTGTTTCAGGCCCTGTTTCCCTGTGCTCGGGAGCAGGGAGGCTCCAGGCGGAAAGGGCCCAAATGGCAGCAAGAGACCCGGACACTTTACACACAGAGGGATAGCGAGAAACCAAACCTTAGTAGTTGTATCTTTGGGCTCTTAACTATGGGCAACAAAAAACCATTCTGAAGGATTGAAGCTGAAATTAATTGAAAGGATATAAAATGACCATAGAACTTAGCTTGCAAAATAGGCAGGGACAAGGGTGGGTAAAGAAAGGGCAGGACCACAGCCCAAGTCATGCCACACACTCTCTCACACTGTCTGGTGTGACACGGCTGCTGCTCGGTGCCACGGCCAGAACCTCGTCTATTCCCGACAGCTGCTTCGGGACCTGGATGAGGAAGCTGTCACGTTTGATTCTGTTCCTGTTTTATTAATTAGTACCCGAGTCGGAATCTGGGCAGGTGTATGTGATTGGTCAAACCCAGGTCACAGCCCTGGCTGTGGGGTAGGCGTTTCTGTTTCTTAATGATGGGAGGTTATCTCGCAACCCACCAGGATTGGAATGGCCTGGTCTCCAAACATGTAAGGATAGATGCTGGGCTCAAAGCAAAAACTAGCTACTTTTTTCCCCACAAAAAAAGTGGTCATCCAGTTAGGATTTTCCCCAACTCCCCTTAAATTATAGATGCAGATGCTGAGTCCCAGAGGGGAGAACGGCTTCCTTCCCAAGGACATGCGGCCAAGGGAAATCAGTTCCATCTCCTGTGCCAACACCAGTTGACGGAGATTGAATGGAGCCCCACTGAGACATCGGGAGGCTTTGTCTGGCTCGTCGGTGCCATGGGTGAGGCTGTCCTACAGCACGCTTCTTCCCACATAAGACATTCAAACAAACACAGCTGTTTCCCTCTGGAAAGCCCAAGCCTGTCTGTTCCCTCTGGGCCACCCTAGTTCGTGAACAACTACAAAATACTATTTCCTATGTTGAGCATTTTCACTTTGCAAGAAGAGAGTAGAACAAGCTTGGTAAGAGGCTGTATGTGCATGGGTTCTAGTTTGGTTGTTCCCAAACCCAGCTGTGGATGAGAAACACCCAGAGATTCCTCTGTCCCGCCAAAGGCCTACTGAATCAGCATCAGCGAGAATGGCCGAGGATGGAGCAATAAAGTCTTAGGCCACTAGAAACCAGGGATGCAGGATTTCTAGGCTCAGAAATAGAGGAATATTCGTAACTGTCACATTGTTTGGACAACAGTGCTGCAGCTGGTATGACTACCTTCTCTAGACTGTAACCGGCCTTTCTAAGCGGGACCTGGCCTCGTTCTTCTGTGTCCTCTGCAGTTTCTGGCACCTAACAGGCTTCTAGTTCCAGGTGAATTAAGTTATCCAAAGGCACACTGCTGTTGCTGCCACCGAACACTCAGTACGGTAGCCTTGAAAATGGCATTAATCAACTTGACAGGCACCTCAGGAAGGTGTTGGACCGCTTTCCAAAACCTGAAGTCTGCTCTTCAGAATTCCAAGGGACCCAGACTGTCAGAAGTCCTGCCTGTGCCCCAGAAGGCCCGGACTGGCTCAGGGTTCGGGATGAGCCCCTTACCTGCTGCTGTCTGGCAGCTTTTCTCATAGGATGCAGACAGCCAACGCGCACAGAGCGCTCTGCACCAGGGCACTGTCCTTTGCCCTTTACCTGCTAGCTCGGTTGACCCTTACCACTGTACGAAGTAGGTATTATTTTCATTTCACTTGTGAAACAGGCCCAGAGGTTCGTAAGTAGCACAGCTGGGAGGGGATTTGAATCCAGGCATTCTGGGTCCAGAGCACTCACTTTTAACCTCTATATAACTTAATAAGCCAGATCCATTTTTTTTTTGATATCTTGAATTTAGCTTTATTTATACAAAGCTGGCGGATTAAGACACAAAAATTAGATATAGTAATGATTAATCATCACTCAACTGTGCTCTTCTAGGGAGCCCTTCTTGTGCAACCGAGCCTTGCAGACGGTGCTGCCCTGACCTTGTATTTCATGCTAGTAACTGGCTCCCTCACATCTGAGCCCTGGCTAGGCTGGTCAAGTCTAGCTGTCTGGATGTCCCCAGCCTGGCCTGCCCTGCCTCCAGAATCACACAGGGCACCCCGCACAGGCAGCAGTCCCCCCTTACCCTCAGGGAATTTGTCCCAAGACCCCCAGCGGATGCCTGAAGCTGTGGATAGTACCAAATCCTATATATACTACGTTCTTCCCTATACATACATAGCTATGATAAAGTTTAATTTATAAATTGGGCACAGTAAGAGATGAACAATAATAGAATAACAAAAAGTTGTATGAACGGGCCTCTCTCACAATACCTTATTGTACTGTACTCACCCATTTTCAGGCCACGGCTGACCACAGGTGCCTGAGACTGCAGGTAAGAGGGGACTACTGCACCAGGAATGAGCCAAGGTGTTATGGTAGGACCAATCTTTCCACCTTCTGTTTACACACTTCTCTCTGAAACCCGCTGCAGACTGACTCATCCTGGGTCGACAATGACAAGACAAATGGGGGCACTGGACTCGCTGCGACAGGGTGAGACAGTCTGGGACAAGCAGGTATCTTGAACCCAAATCCTGGGAGACCAAGCGAGGGCTAATGAAGCACAGCCATAAATGAAATACAAGACTGATGTAATTATTTAATGACACAGGAAAGTAACATGTTATGAAGCAAGCTGGTTACAAGTAGGCAGAGGATGATTTCACTTTTGATAAAAAAGAATACAAATGCATAAGAACATGCACAGAAAAAATTGGAAGGTTATATACCAAAATATCAACAGTATTTTACTCCTGTTCAGTGATTAAATATTCTTCCATTTGTATATTTTTAAAAACATGATCATTTCTGAAACAAAAAAGAGAAACAAGATACTGGCAACAGTTATGGGTCAGGAATCCAAGAAGCCAGGAACCCAGCAGCCAAGGCTTGAAACCCAGGACAGCCAAGGTGACCACGGTCAAGCCCAGAGGGGGAGCATTGTTTTTTCCTGCCGGAATGTTAATTATCAGACTGTTTGCTCTATATTTGATGTTCTCAGTATACTCACATTTAATGGGACCCTGAATAATAACTGGCACAAAAGCAAAATGCTAGCAACTTTTGTTTTGAATTTTGAAATGCTATTTTGTAGTTATATAAAAGCAGTCCCCATCCTTTTTGGCATCAGGGACCAGTGTCACGGAAGACAATTTTTTCCACAGACCAGGGGTGGGGGGATGGTTTCAGGATGATTCAAGCACATGACATTTATCGTGCAGTCAGACCTCTCTGCTAATGATAATCTGGATTTGCAGCCGCTCCCCAGAGCTAGCATCACCCCATCAGCTCCACCTCAGATCATCAGGCATTAGATGCTCATAAGGAGCACGCAAGCTAGATCCCTCACACGCGCAGCTTACAGCAGGGTGTGCAGTACGAAAATCTACTGACAGCAGGCAGAGCTTATGCTGCGATGCGAGTGATGGGAAGCGGCTGTCAATACAGACGAAGCTTCACTGCCAGCAGCGCTGCCTTGCTGGATGCTCACCTCCTACTGTACCGCACTGTTCCTAACAGGCCACAGACCCTACTGGTCCACGGCCTGGGGACTGCAAACATACGACATCAAACACATGAGAAAGGATGTGCTCCTAGGACAAAAAAATGCATCTGACTAAATCACTGACTTAGCTATTTTTTTCTGACCTCTGTTCATTTTCAATTTCTACTGCAGATCTATTTTTTGTTTCATGGTCTGGAACAGGTAATTTTTCCTCGCAAAGAAACTAACATTAATGTATGCTGAGCACTGTGATGGCTTGGCTTTAAGTCTACTGATAGCTGGCCTTGGCATCTAAGTACTCTGCCAAGCTGGAAGGGCTTCCGGAACCCAAACCACCTTGAAATAAACAAAACTGGAGTAACACTATTCTTCTTCTTTTTTTTTTCCCAAGTCTTTGCTAAGTTACCAAATGAAGGGCAGCAGTGTATTATACCAATATTGGTATAAATGAAGCTCATAATTCTCACCCCTCTCCCCCATGTTATGACTGCTAGGGACACTATTCAAATAATAAGGACAAATAACCCGTATTTCTTGCTCTTAAAAAATGTGAGAAAAGCTCATTGTTTTAAAATCAAGAATATATAAAAGTGATGTAGTCTTTACCCTAAGGTGCTTCTTAGGTATTTCCCAAAGCTCTGCCCTTATACACTGCAGCATTTTCAGGAGGGATCAAAAGATACCATTAAGGTCCAAGAAACAACTAAAAGCAAAAAACAGACTGAGACTTATTTGTGCATTACCACCTGCCCAGTACACTAGGTCCCGCAACAAGTTAGTACAGCAATCTATGTTGCAGAAATCTTCACACACCAGGAAGGAAAGGCATAAAAAATTATATTAAAACAATAACATAAATTTGTGTGTATGTATTTAAAATTAAAATATTGTACCATGATAAAAAAGTCCAGATAGATTCCTTGCTTTGACCTTGGGCAACCAAGAAAATTAGTTTGTTTTATATCCCCAAAATAAAAAAACATACTTGCTGAAAATAACAGTGCTCAGTGCTTACAACCCAGGCCAATTCATACTCCTGTCAGATCAGGCCAAATTCTAAAGGCTACAAAAATTCCTTGGTTAGAGCAAGGGGAAAAAGTCCATTTCAGGGCCAAGCTATTCAAGATGAAAGGAACTTGCGTCTTCAGTGAGAGAACTGTCTGCTGTCAGATGATTTCTTGCTAATGTTTTTAAAGATTTTGGACTTCTCAACTTTCTTGGTTTTCTGGTAGCCAAATCCACCACCGCCTCCTCTCTTTTTATGCTTGCCTTCATTGCTATTCACATCTGAAGGTGGATGTTAAGGAAATCAAGCAACAAAGACAATGAACTCCAGTCTAACGTCTACAAAGAGAAAAACCAGCAGGCACACCACTGTCCCTCTACCACACCCTTCTCTCAACAGCGTAAACCTCAGCAATGTATTTCCAGAAAATCAGTCACCGCAAGATTGTGGTCTGGTATTAGCAGGTGTGATTTTAAAGTTCACTGTAATAGTCATATTAATTATTTCCTCCACACAATGAAATTCATGAGAATGAGTGATTAAGGTGTTAAGATGTCAATCAGGAAGTTCATAGATCACATTTAAAATAAACCCCAGTGTCAAAACAAATGACTTTCATCTCTGTTGGGAGCTGGTAAGGGTGTGCTTAACCAAGTTAGGGAGCTGTTCTTCCCCTCACACAGTTCAACATACATTCATCATAAGGGACATTTACTCAAGGCCTACGATGGGGATGGTGGCCCAAAATTTGGTCCTCTCTATTCCCCTCAGAGGCAACTGGAAGTATTCCCTTTGCCTTTTATCTTGAGCAACGCTTGTTTTCTTTTCTTTTGCTGGACTTGCCACTTCTTGGTATAAAACAAGGGCTTGAAGAGGACTTAAACTCTTTGAAAAGTCCCATCCTCTCTTCAGCTTCAGAGCATTCCGTTCCTCCAAGCACGTCCTACGGCACGGCCTCAGCACTGAGTTCTGCTACTGTACCTCTCTGTGCTTCTGCCAGAAATGCACAACTACCACTGGCTCGGTCTGACAAATTTGTCTTTTTAAGGCTTGAGTCATAAGCTGCCTTGTTCCTGCAACCGCATCTTGATTATTAATCCCCGGTCACCCCATCCTACCTGTGTCCCGTGCCAGCACAGACAGGCAGACACTGGCCAGGAGGAGCACCTGGGCCTCCAGTCTGCAGCCAGAGTGCCCACCAACCCAAACGCCCCTCCCTCAAGCTTTTGTTCCTTAGTTCCGGGATGACTTCATAACAAAGAAAAGGATACTCAGATCAACAAAAGGAGGCACCCTGAAACCAAATGACAGAGCAACTTGAGGCAAATTTAAGTTATTAACATTAAAGATCTGTTTCAGAGAGTGGGAATCATAGGCACGGATGTATGACTTATATGCTTCCTGGGCTGACTTATGAAGAAAGTAGTTCTTTTCAATCAATTGTTCAAGCTGAAATAGAAAGAAACTTTGGTTTTAATAAAATAAAAAAGCAGATTTCAAATATTCTAGAGCAAAGCCATTCCCTAAAAAACATGTATTCCAATACACTTGTTCTAGGCTTTGTACTATTTGCTGTAGTAAGAACAAGGCCAAAGTTTTTGCAGGGTGTGGACTGGGAGGAGGAAGAGAGCACGGGACCGTGGTAACCACAGCAAGCACCCTTGAAGAGCACACAGTCCAACCCCCCATTTTATGACAGGGCAGACCCAGAGGACAGTGACCGCCTACTGAACACTGCAAAGGTCGTGCGGGGACAAGGTTCCCTCTTACTCACAAGTATTTAAAAAAACAAACCTGAGATTGGATGTTGGAAATTTTAGACCAGGAAAAGTCAAATTCACTTAATGGAACCTAGAAAACAGAAGTATAAAGATTGGTAAACGAGGATGATCAACATTCTGGTTATTTATTAGGTGCTGAAGACAGGGAAGGATGACCAGGCCTGTGGAATCCCTTAGGACAGATGCAAAATCTGCTGTCTCTAGTCTGCCAACGTTGATGGAAAAGTTCTGTCTTTGCTTTGCTGAGTTAGGAAAATGGTACTTTCTTTCTGAAAAGTAAGGTGAGAAATTGAACAAGGACAATGAGTTGGTGAAGCACTTTTCTCTAAGACCTCTATAATCCTGATTATTTGGAGTGATGAAGTAGCCTGAAGCTTCTAGTTAGAAGGACCATTTGCCTTTCTCCCCATGTCACAAGAGGGGCCCTAATACCACACAGCCCTGTGATTGGGGTTTGTGACATCAGAGGCCACGATGACCACAAACTCCTACAGCAGAGCTCTGCTGTCAGTCGTCACTTATTAAATAAATGGAATAGTGCCAGACTTGTGTTAGGTGGTGGGGGAAAAACAGGTGCCCAAGTCCTGGACTCTGTCCTCAGAGAGCTTATAGTCTTGTGGGGGAGACAAAGTGATGAAATGACAACTTAATGAGCACCAGCGCTGTGGGAACACGGAGGAGGGCAGGAGATCAGAGATGGCTCCCCAGAAGAGAGAGCAGCTAGCTGAGAGCAGAGCATGCTGAAGAAGTGTGCAGAGGCCATGGAACAATTTCAGGGAACTGCACACAGCTGCAGGGTGGAGGAAACCTACCTGGCAAGACTATGCCAGGGAGGCCAACGGGGAGGCAAGTGTCAGAGAGAAGGCCTGAGGTGCACTCCCAAGGCCCAGCAATAAAAAGACCACTTATCATTCTGATGGATTCAGTTCTGCGGAGATGGAAGGAGGCCAAAGCCAGATTAGGGTGGATGGGGACCCAGTGGGAGGCAACTAGGAAAAATATAAACCATTTTCCCAAAAAGGCAGACTAAGGAAAGGCAATGGGCAGTAGCTATCTTGGAGATAGTGGAAACAGAATAGGTTTAGGGTTGAAGTTACTTTTTCCACAGTGTGAGACCTGAGATGGTCAAGCACTAACTGTAAGAACGAGATCAAAGGCCGAGTATAGATGAATGTGGGACAAAAGCAGGCAAAGGGGCAGGGAGGGGCAGGATGAATGGGGATCCCCACTGCTTCACATGAGGCAAGAGGGAAAGACACGAGGATGAAGGGACTGCAGGAAGGGGGGCAGGAGGAGAGGTGACCAGGTGTGAGGGAACGTAAAAGGAGTGGACAAAGTTTCAAACAGGTCTGTAGGGATCAGGAAGGGAGAGACTGGGACACAAGAGGTGCTACTGAGCAACCCAGAGCTAAGGGGTTGAGCCATGAGGGTAGTTCCTTCTGTCCCTTCCTCCTGGCCAGAAGTGCATAAAATCTTCCTTGCTTAACTGCCGTAACAACTGTTTTAATAGCACTGCTCTGACTCAAGACTGCCGACGCACCGACACACGTAGAAATAGTGCTTGCTAACAATCCCTACACACCAAGAGGGATCTGTTTCCAATTTAAGATGTTCCAAGTAAAGATCTTTACCTTGGATTGCTTCAGGTAACGAAGGAAACCCAGTTCTTCTGGGCGCAAAATGAGCAAGGCATGCCCTCTTCCATTTAGGCCTCTGGCCGTTCTACCGACACGATGAATATATTCCTTTGGTAGAGAAAGAACGCTTGAGTTAATGCACTGACTTCCACACGAGCGCATCAGGAACATGCCTGCACTTGAAATATGTGCACAGTGGTGACAGAGGTGCACCAGTACACCTGTCCTGAGATGGTGCACCTCCCACAGGACTGGCCCCAGAGCCAGGCTATCACTCCCCTGCACACGCCATCCCTGGAGGGCTGAACGGCTAATGACCAAGGCCTAAAAAGGCTGGACACAATGTGCACATTAACAGTGTGATCTAATAAAATGAGTATTATGTCCCCACATTCTACTATATTTACTACATAATCTTATTTACCTCCTTAAGTAAATTTTATTTCCTTCAGCTACCTGTTGCTCTTAACTGATCATTCCAAGGATCTAACATTCTTAACTTAAATCCCACTGAAGTCTCTAAAACCTCCATGTAAGCCCCCCATGAGCCCCGCAAAGCCTTAAATACTTATCAACATGAGAGAAATACTGCAGAGTCACTAACAGGGATAAACCTTATGAACGTGAAATGGGGTATTTCCCAGGGAACCTGGAGAGTAAGTGCACTCCTTAATGTGGAGCCAATGTGAAGACACCCCAAGGACGCCGGTTACCTTAGGGTCATCCGGAGGGTCATACTGAACAATCCAGTCGACTTCAGGAATATCCAGCCCTCTTGCTGCCACATCCGTGCATAACAATATCCCTGAATCTGCGTTGCAGAACTGGAAGAATGTGGTGGTACGCTTATTTTGCTTCTGCCTTCCCTAGAATCAAATAAAAAAACTCTTTAGAGCTAGAACCTTGAGGCTGTTTCTAAGAAGCCTAGCTGTACAGTCTCCAAACTTGGAGTCGTTACCCTACTTTAATTCAAGCTCCCCGCTGGATTATGCACTATTTCCCCAACTGGCTCCTCCAAGAGGATGGTGTGTCTCTTACTCCTCTGACAAGTCCTTGTCCCTCCATACAGGATCCACCACCTAGTGATGATCAAACTACTCAGAACGACATTTAGAGGAGAGAGCAGTACCTCCAATCCCATAATCTACAGGACTTGACAAGCACAAGCTGGTTTTAATAAGCTCATCATAATCACTTACATGAATGGCCAAGACAGGCAAATCAATGTAGTTCAGCAACTCGTAGTGGTATTTCACGGACATACAGGATGAAAAGAAGACCATCAGTTTCTTTTTTCGGTTCTTCTTAAGGAATGTAAAGAGCAGCAGGAATCTCTTTTCAGAGGGACAAACAACATATCCCTAGGAATGGTTCAAATGAACAGATACAAATGAATCAAACAGATATTTTTAGCTTCGTAACGAATGTACTCCGATGGAGAACAATGATAAACATAGCATATACCATGTCATACTTTACCTACAATATTTAAAAAACTAAACAACCAACCAAAGGTTCTTTAAATTACATCTAGTTAGATAATATTTTATTCATCGACAAGACTCAATCTTGAAGTTCTCATTTTAATCACCTTAGTTTGGATCTCAGTCACCTCATTTCTACCTTTCCCCAGCTATGCACCCTGAACCGGTCTCTCCATCACCTAACTTGCCTTGCATCTTACTGAGATCATTAAAAATATTTTACAACTACATTTAAAATTGGCGGTTATTAATAACACCCGCCCCCGCCATGTGACAAATGGTATCAACAAAGTAAAGAGAGCTGATCAAACTATTTTCAGAGTTCATGGCATTGTATCCCAGGAGTATCTAGATCTAATACCCGAATTCATTACACAGATGCTCCTCTACTTAAAATGGGTCAGTGTTGATAAACCCACTGTAAATTGAAAATATTTTAAGTTGAAAATGCATTAATACATCTAACCTACTGAACATCATTCATTGTAGACTAGCTTACCTTAAATGTGTTCAGGACACTTATACTAGCCTACAATTGGACAAAATCATCTAATACAAAGTCTATTTTATAATAAAGTGTTAAGTATTTCACATAATTTACTGAATACTGTACTGAAGTATGGTTTCTATTGAATGTATATCATTTTTGCATCATCATAAATTCAAAAACTCTTAAGTCAAACCATTGTAAGTTGAGGACTATCTGTATTTGAATTAAAAGTTCATTAACCCGTTTGCTTTCCAGATAATCTTCCAAAATAGTACATGAAAACACTAAGACATTAAGGGTTTAAGTTATTGATAAAAAGTACCTGCTCAAGACCATCCACTGTTGCATTAGTTTTATCATCATCGACACCAACATACAGTGGCTCCTTTTTCAGAGAAATCCTTGCCAGGTCTTCAACTTTTCGAGTTTGTGTGGCAGAAAAGAGCATAGTTTGTCTGCGTACTGAAACAGATATATTTACATATAAATAACCTCAATCTTCCAGGGAATCTTTATAATTGCTTCACAACTACAAATACTCTAGGTAGAATGATCAGAAATGGGAGCTGTGATATCACTACAGAGTCTACAAATATTATAAAGGGTAAAAAGGGCATATTATGAAATACTTTAGGTCTATACGTTTTAGAACTTAGATGAAATGGACAAACTGCTTGAAAAATAAACTACACAAGAAGAAACAGGAAACCTGCACAGCCTTAGATCTATTTAAAAAACTTCAGTCAAACCCTTCACCTTCATGTAAAAAAAATTCCAGGCCCAAAGAGATTCCACTGATACATTCTATCAGATATTAAGAAGAAATATCAGTTCTTCACAAACTCTCCAGGAAATCAAAAAGGAGAGTTTACTTGCAACCATTCTTTGAAATCGGCTATTACCCTGCATAAAAACCTGACAAAGACATTATAAGAAAAAAATTTATGGACCAATTCACGAACACAAATGCAATATTTCTAAGCAGAATTTTAGCAAAGTGAATCCAGCAATATACAAAAAGGATAATGAATCATGACCAAGTAGGACTTATTCTAGGAATGCAGGCTTGATTTAACATTTGAAAAATCAACCAATATAATTTACCATATTAACAAACTCAAGGAAAAGTATCGCATTATTTCAACAGACACAGAAAAAGCATTTGGCCATCTATTGCTAATTGAAACCCTCCGCAAACTAGGAACAAAATGGATATTCCTCAATCTGATAAAGGGTACCTACATAAAACCTACAACTAACCTCATACATACTTAATGGTGAAAAACTGAATGCTTTCCCCTAAGATCAGGAACCAGACAAGGAAGTCTGCTCTCACCACTCAGCTTCGGTATTGTACTGGAGGTTCTGGCCAGGGCAATCAGGCAAGAAAAAATATTAATAAAGAAGTGGAACTGTATTTGTACGTGATTACCTATGTAGAAAACCCAAAAGGCTAAGTTATACAGAATAATCCTTGAGTACAGGAATAATTACCTTGTTGGATGCAAGATCAATATAAAAAAATCAACTGTATTTTTATATGTGGGCAATGAACAATTGGAAATTGAAATTTTAATGAAATATAAATCTGACAAAAGATGTGAAAAAATCTGTAGTCTGAAAACTCCTAAAAAATTACAGAAATTAAAAACTTAATAAATGGAGATATACCTCCTCATAGGTTACAGGATTCAATACAGTCTTCCACCAATGACCTCTATTCAATACAATCTCAATCATGATTCCAGACTTTTTGTGGATGGACAGAAATTGACAAACTGATTCTAAAATTCATATAGAAATGCAAAGGAGAAGAACAGCCAAAACGACTTTGAAAAAGAACAAACTTGGGGGGCTAACTCTACCCGATTTCAAGACTTAATAGGGAGGAACTGGAACTTTCATATGATGCCGATGGGAATGCAGAATGGCGCAACTGCTTTGGAAAACATCTAGAGGTTTTTAAAAAAGTTAAACACACACCAGTCATGCCATTCAAGAGAAAAGGAGACATATGCCCCTACAATGAGTTGTAGATTAATGTTCATAGCAATTTTATTCCTAATAGCCCCAAACTCTAAGCAGCAGAAAGAGCCATCAATATTGGACTAGATAAACAAACTGGTATATTCATACAATGAAATGCTACTGAAGAATAAAAAGAACTACTGCTGCAACAGCATGGATGAATCTCAAGATTTGCAGAGTGAAAGAAACTAGGCCCAAAAAGAACTACATACGGTCTGATTCCATTGATCTAAATCTCTAGAAAATGCAAGCTTATCGACAGTGACAGAAAACACACCAACAGTCACCTGGGAGAGACGGGTGTGTGTGAGGAGGGGTGGGTGGAGGGACTGCAAAGGGGAAAGAGGAAACTTTTGAGGCAGATGGATGTGTTCATTACCTTGTTTGTGATGGCTGCACAGTAGTAAACATGTCAAAGAGCATCAAATTGTATATTTTAAATATCTACATATGTCAATTATACCTTAAAGCACTAAAGATAAATAACAAATGGGATTATGGTTTTATTACACTTATAAACAGTTTATAATGTTGCAGTACTATAATCAAGCTATGCACAAGTCAAATATAACACAAAAGGCGACAAATCTATGGCTACTTGGAAGATGTTAGATGAGGTAAGAATAGGTAAAGGAGGGCGGGAATGAGACCCACATTAGGACTGTTTAATTTGCATCATAACCTCTAAAACGGGAAAACTACTACATTAAGTTACTACTAAGTTTGATGCTTGTATTCCAAACTACTTCTAAGGCTGATTGGCCCAACTACTTCACTTACGCTATGGTAAAATTCTGGTATTAATATAGTTTTCAATAGGAAAAATTCTCATCTACCTCCAACAGGTACCTTGCAAACCATATGCAGATGCTACCTACTTACTTGGCAGAAGTTTAATAATTTGCTTTAATTCCTCTTCAAACCCAACATCCAAGATACGATCAGCCTCATCAATAACCAGACACTGTAGATTTTTATACATAAACCCTGGGGTATTCTAACAAAACAAAGGAAAAGAAAAACTGTTAGTTGTCAAGTTTGTGTTTTATATGAGACAAGGAAATAGGCACTACATCATAGCATTCTCTGACCTGCATGTGGTCCAGGAGACGGCCTGGTGTGGCCACAATGATGTTGATCCCATTAGCAAGTTTCTGTGCTTCAGCAGATCTGTTACTGCCACCCATTATTAACCCGTATGTGTGCACATGGTGAGTCATCAGCTCCTTAAGAACACCGAAAGTCTGCATGGCCAGTTCTCTAGTTGGTGAGAGAATAAGGACTCCTGTTCCTAAAACAGAAATGAACAAACAAAAAAGATATACAGTTAAGTCAAACTTGGCTATCACCGTGAGTCCCTAACAACTACAACAAACTTTCAGTGAAATAATGGCAGAAACGAGCAGATTAAAAGCTTACCATTCCTGGGCATGAACTTTAACTTAACAATGAGTTCAACAGCAGGAATGAGAAAAGCCAGGGTCTTGCCACTGCCTGTTTTTGCAGCTGCTAGAAGATCCCTAAATATTAAAAAGGGAAAGAAAAAGACATTTAGTCTACTCATTCAGCATATATTTACTGTGTACTATATACATACATTTTAGGTACTAAGGCTACCACACGAACACGAGAGACAAAGTTCCTCTCTTCTGTTTCACTGATATCAATCACCTATGTTATATATCTACTTGGAAATCGGAATTGTGCTACAAAACAGAAGTAAACACTTTTCTTCAAACATCAGTAAATAACTTAAAGCCTTTAATGAAGGCTGGATATGAGACCCAGCACACAGTGCAAAATCAAAACACACTGATATTTTCTTTACAACCTGCTAGCACTAAATATAGACGCCAATGTCCAAGCATCAATGTTAACCATACCTGCCTTCCAGAAGTGGCCTGATACTTTTATGTTGAATTTCAGTCATGTTTGTAAAGCCCATTTCTTTTATTGCCTTCAGAGTGTTTTCATTGACAAGATTAGTTAGAGAAGTGAATGAAGTATCCTCAAAAGCTCCTAAAAAGAAGTTTATCATTAGCAAATTCTTTTTAAAAAAGTTAATAATGCTATATTTGCCTAAATTAGTTTTGCTTGGAAGAGCTTCTTAAAGTAAAAAAAGGAGACTAAACCCCAGTTCATTCCCATGCAATAATATTAAGAAAAAGACCCTATACCTCTGAAGTTTCTCCACTGCTGATGCCTGTGTGATTTAAAGTCCAGAGCCTACGGTGCAACGAAATAAGGGGTGGAGAGGAGGAATAATTGAGGGATTTATATAAAACGAAAATGCCAAGGCAGGATTAAAAAACAAAACAAAACAAAACCGAGTGTAAAGTCAGTTAAAAAAAAACCCAGTTAAACTCACTCTAAAAAGACAACTGAGCAGAGTCAGATATAGCTACAAATTCCTCAGTAGGAGGCAAAATCAAAATTACCTGGGAGCTCCCCACCCCCGACATGTCCCTACTGTAAACCAGGGAGTCTTGACCTTGGCACTACTGACATTTTGGGCCAGGTAATTTTTTGTTTGGGAGGCTTCCTATGCATTACAAGATTTTATGAAGCACCCCTAATCTCCACGCCCTAGATTTCAGTAGACTGCCCCTAGTTCTGACAACCAAAAATGTCTCCTAGGGGTAGGGTGACCAACCTTCTCTGTATACCTGGGACAGAGGAGGTTCCTCGTATTCAGGACTTTCAGCGTCAAATCTGGGGAAGTTCTGGGCAAACAGGAGGATTTTGTCATTCCACCTACGAGGCAAAACTGCCCTCTTGAGAACCACTGCCAAGACTTCTCCAGTTTTGACCAAACAGATGTGGCCTCAATATTTTAAGAAAGAACTCAAATAACTCCTAGATATTTCTGGTTACAAGCAGCTAATTCCAGTCCAAACTCTTAACTTTATAAATGAATAAAGGCCAAAGGAGGTTAACCTGGCCCAAGTCCCTCAATGATACTAATTTAATCCTTCCTTCCTTATTAGTAACTAAGCCCGTATTAAATCTCTAGTCTTCAGACTTTTGGGCCAGTGATTTTCCAATACAGCGTGGAATGAGCCTTAGAAAAGAAAAAAGCAAAAAAACAAAGGATCCTGGAAGCTGCTTGTGCGCATATAAATACTTGGTGTTAGGAATGGAGAAAAGGAAAAAAAAATAGGGAACAAAATAACTCAGGCACCATAAAGTAGATGATAAAGACAAAAAGCAGCAGAAGACACACAGAACATTTGTTGATAGTTGTTTTCCAGTCAAATTAGAAGTCATAACAGAACCTTCAATCCTATAATCCTCTGAGAGGAGCACAACGTTTTTAGAAGCTGGGTCTGGAAAGCTTCCTGGCAGTTACCTGTCAGTCCCAGGGGCAGGCTGGGCACTTCACTGTCATCCTCCTCAGCACCTGGCTTCTCCACCTTGTTTCCTGTTTCTTCCTGTGCCTCAGCGCTTGCTTCTTTGGACTGCCCTTTGTTTTCAGTTTTTGCTTTTTTTGCATCTTTGGTTTTAAAGGACAAAACACAAAAAATTTTTTCCTTAAAATAAAAATGCCAAGTGAGATCAACGAAATAAAAGATTTGTGACGCAAAGAGGTGTATTTTCAAAAGCTTAACATACTCAATTTGTGAAGAATCTTTTTCATAATAAAAGGATTTGGTTATATTTAAAAACCCAGGGTACAAAAGATTTGGCTTAACAAAATTTTTTTAGGCTCTTAATGTATCATATCATCTCATTTAACAAAAAAAATTTTTAGAGGTTAATTAAACAATATAAAAATACTAATTACAAGTTCCACACATTTCGCTGAGGAAAAAAAAAGCACATCGGAGTAACATAATTCTTAAAAGCTCATTATGAGCACTGATTTTTCTTCCCATACCAATTACCATAAATTTTCTGTAAAAGCTGTTTTGTTTTAAAGATGAATGGAAAAACCAAAGGCTCTTCATGTTACTCGAGACAGATTTTGCGAGGGCACCCACCTACCCAGGTGACTGACATAAACTGAACTGCTCCTTGGCTGTCAGTGGTGAGGGAGGAAAGGCAGGGCTTCCTAGCTTCACTTCTACATTCACAGCTTTCATAACAGGACCCGAAACTACCTTTCCAGTTCTACCTCCCAGTTCCCTCCTCAACATTCCACTCTGGGTCAAATGGATTAACTAGCATGCTGGACTTTTGCACAAATTTGTGGCAGTTAGTGATGCTAGTTTGAACAGAACTAACCTAGACCAGAGCTCAGAACTCTTTGTAGCCCAGGACTGGCCTCTTCCCTGTACCCTACTGTCACCCTTCCAGGAATTAATCAACTCTGTAGGTTCCACATGTTCAAATGCCATGGATGTCATTAGCTGGTCTCCAGGACTTACCACTTTTGTTTTCCCTAGAATAGTTCTCAAAGTTTACATAAAACTCCCAGCACTGTGATTTGATGCTTGAGAGTAGAAATGTCACTTCCCTGGGCACAGGGAATGAGAATCGTAAAGGCATTGATAATTTTAGAACAGGATTACAATTACTTTCGATCAGAACTAATTCCTAATCCTCATGCATTTCCCTATCTTGTTTTACTTTCTGCTTCAGTTATTTCTCATAATCTACAATGTTTTTAGTAGGCTGTATGAAGACAGCCATGTATGTTTGGAAAAGTTCAAAGCTCTTTCTAAATGAAACCCTTATTTCATGTAAGATACATAAATAGGATATTCTAACTCAGGGGCTGGAAAAGTTTAGGTTTTGCAGGCCATATGGTCTCTGTCATCATAAAGACAACAAAATGGGCACTACTGTGACCCAATATTTACTTACAAAAATAGGTGGAAGGTCAGATAGTTTGCAGACTCCTGTCCTATCCTACCTCGAAATCTCTGCTTGTACAATGCCCATTCCTTCACCTGAGCTTATTCAAAGCCAATCATCTTCAAAAAATGGTCCTTCTTTCTCCCCTTGCCCACTTTACTTCTTTACTCACTTGGAAATTATTGTTCCATTTAGAAGTTTACTAAATGCTACTTGCAACTAAGACTCCCTTTAAAGGAGGAATTTATGGGAGGAAAAGGTAAGGAATGGGGCAAAAAAAGCAAATGAAAAAAAAATCCTAAATGCAAAGTCCCTTAATACAGAAAGGCCTAGGAAGAGAGATCTTACTACCAGCCCGGATTTCTTTAGTGTTAGAAATTCTGCAATTCTGTCAGCAAACAGGTAATCCTATGCTATGCTATAGTATGTTCTATCATAAAAAGCCCAGCTAACTGCCCCAAAGAGCAAATTTCTAGAATTCTATAATAAAAAGTCTTATCTAAATGTGAGGTTTTCTTCAAAGGTTAGAGAACATAAAAACATGACACATTGCTTGATATTTTGAGAAAGTTAAAACGCACTCTCCCTTTCCACCAATAAAATGCTTCCTTCAGCTACCAGGCTAGTCTCCAGTAGACTGGTGACGCAAGGGATTCTTATACGTCACGTGCACACAATTATAAGAAGAAGGAAGGTGTAATGGTAACTGTCTGTGAAAAAATGTTTGAATGGCTCAAGTTCAAAGAAAATACCTACCAGGCCCAGAATCATTTACCATTTTTCTCTTCTTCTTCTTCTTTTTTTTTTTTGATTCTGAATTGGGAGACTGCATTGCTGCTTGTCCATTGGTTAATACGGTAGATTTCTGGGGGGATTTTTTTACTTTTATATTTTCCACTGTTTCTTCAGACAGGTCTCCATTTTGAGCTTTTGACAAGCCCACCTTCATTGACTGTTTTAGGGATTTTTTAACTTTTCCACCTTCTGTTGTTTCTTCAGATACATCTCCATTTTGAGTTTCTGACAGGCTCACACTCAAGGCCCCTGTTTAAAAATATAACACACACTGTGGCAAAGAAGGGGAGGTTTACTTAGAAACAGTGAAATCCCACATAATAAATTCCATAGCTTCCAGAACTAAAACTGTTCAGCTTTTTCTTCTCTTTCATGTACACTGTTAAAACCACCTGCAATGCTATGGTGTTCTACTACAGGAGAAAAATGGTGGAAAAGGGAAAGCTATATTGATTTCCTAACTTCAAAAGACCATATCTCTGTCTTTAAGGAGTCTGGGACACAAAAACTTCAATGAGGTCAAATATTTAAACAGATGGGGTCAGACAATGGCAGTTACAAAATAAACAGTTTAATATTAAGTATTTGGTAAACATATGACTAACTGATACATTGAAAGACATTTACGCCTCATTCACAAATCTACCATTTCTCATATGACTTTTAAACATTCAATCCTAACTTCCCTAAACTGCAGTGAATTGAAAATTCAGTTGATAAAACCACTTATTTATCCCAATATTTATTATACAAAAATACAGTCATGTGCTGCGTAACATTTTGGCCAACAATGGACCACATATGATGGTGGTCCCATAGGATTATAATGGAGCTGTGCCATCACAGAGGCAGCAATGTCACAGGGCAATGTATTATTCATGTATTTGTGGTGATGCTGATGTAAACAAACCTGTGTGATGCTAGCTGTATGAAGTATAGCACTTACTACAGTATCTGATACTTGGTAATGATAATGAACAACTATGTTACTGGTTTATGTACTTACTATATTATACTTTTTATCCTTATCTTAGAGTGTACCCCTTCTAATTATATATATAAAAAAAGTTAACTATAAAATAGCTTCAGGTAGATCCTACAGGAGGTAATTCAGAAGATGGCATTGTAATCATAGGAGATGACAGCTGCATGCGTGTTATTGCCCCTGAAGACCTTCCGGAGGACAAGATGTGGAGGTGGAAGACAGTGATATTGATGATCCTGACACTGTGTAGGCCTAGGCTAGTGTGTGTGTTTGTATTTTAGTTTTTAACAAACAGTTTAAAAGTAAAAAAGATAACAAATTTTAAAAATAAAAAAGCTTATAGAATAAGGATATAAAGAAAATAGTTCTGTACAGCTACACAGTATTTTATAAAATCTATAGTAGTGCACAGTAACGTTCTAGATCTTCAGTTACTCACCACTGACTCTTGCAGAGCAACTTCCAGTCCTACAAGCTCCATTCATGGTAAGTGCCCTACACAGGTGTACCATTTTTATCTTTTATATGGCAGTATTTTTACTGTACCTTTTCTACGTTTAGCTATACAAATATTTACCATTTTGTTACAAGTGCCTGCAGTATTCAGTATGGCAACATGCTTTGCAGAGTTGTAGCCTAGCAGAAATAGGCTATACCACACAGCCTAGATGTGTAGTAAGATGTACCATCTAGGTTTGTGTAAGTATACTCTACGACGTTCGCACAATGAAATATGCATTTATATGCATTTCTCAGAACACATCCCTGTCATTAAGGAACCAATGACTTGTACCTGAGACTATCTTTACAAAAGTTCTCCTGTTCATATATATAAAACAAAAAAGATAAAATATAAGTAACACCGTCTTTTGTTCAAATTATCAATATCTATATGAAGAAATAGTAATGCTGTACTATTATGCTATAGGAATTGGAAATATAAGGAAACTTTAGAACGTTAACACACTTCAACATCTGTGGTCCACTGTCAGAAAATTGGGACTGTAAATGAGGTAGCTAAGAAAAGTAACATTTATGTAAAATCATTTTCACGTAAGTCACCGTGCAGGACACAAACATGTAGAAGCTCTTAAGTAATTCAAAACCTAAAGTTGAGAGTGACGGAATACTGGGCAGAGAAGCTCTGCGTTTCAACCTGTGGAGAAGCCACTTCCCAGCTGAAAATGAGGAAGTGTTACAGGAGTCAAGAGAGAGCGTGGAGATGGGTAAAAGCAGGCAACAGTATCACAGAAGCTCTGTGAAAGACGACACGAACTTTTTGGGGAAGAAATACAAAAACTAAATACATGATGTGAAAGGTGCGTGGACAAGAGAACGTCCCACGTGTCTGATCGGTCACAGGGAGGGCTGCGTGTGAAGTGTGACCTGAAGGTGTTGAGGGAGTCAAAATGTGCAGGCGCAAATGCAAAAGGCAGGTTTAGCTGGAAGCCCTGCCGGAAGCCTGGATGGGAACGCAGAGGCCTCCTGCTCTAACCCTGTAGAAACTGATGCCCCAAAAGGTCAGGAGCAGTTCCGGGGCCACGCGGCGACTGGGCAGCCCAGGCTGCCTTTTCACTCTCCACAATCACACGTGCTCCGAGGAGAGCTGCCTCCGCCACACCGGGGTCGCAGGGCCTCCCCAACAGCCCTCCCGGCCGCCCGAGCGCGCCACGGCCCGCGCGTGGACCGCCTCAGCCATCGCGAGATTCAGCGCATCTTACCCTGCAGTTTTAGGTTTCGCTGCCGCAATTTGAGGTTCCGCTTCTCGATCTTCTTGCGCAGGAGTTTCATGGGCAGGTGAGACATGTTGCAAAAGCGTCCCTAGACCTTGCCGCCACCGCACGGATCCTCTGCTCTCGGGGTTGACGCTACTTCCTTTGCTGTCGCACGTGCGCGGCTCAGCTAACCGGAAATGCGTCACAGGAACGCCGGAACCTGGCGGAACGGAAATGCTTCCAGGGCGGAAATCATTCCAGCCCTTGCACTGCAGTACCCTTGGCGATCAAATTCTGTGCAGCGCCCCCTGGGGTATTGGAGGCCAACTCCTGCACCGGATTCACTTCGTGTCAGAGCTGGAGGCGTGTTGGAGCGGTTTGGGAGATTTCATAGTTTAAGCTTCCCCTTGTCAATGGAAAAGAAGACAAATTCTATAAAATAATTTAAGGAGGTTTATTCTGAGCCAAATTTGAGAACCATGGCCTAGAGCCATGCCCAAGAACCTTGAGCAAGGCCGACTTGCTGTGTCTGGGTTACAGTTTGGTTTTATACATTTCAAGGAGACAGGGGTTATAGGTAAAGTCACAAATCAATACATACATTGGTTTGGCCTGAAAAGGTGGGCCGTTTCAAAGCGGGGACTTACAGGTTATAAGTGAATTTAAAGATTATTTGACTTATAATTGGTCATAAAGACCTGAAGCTTTGTCTAAAGGCTTGGAATGTTTTAAGATAAGGAGGACTGTTAATCTGAGACAAGCCACCAGACATGCATTTGTTGTGTAAATTGAAGACCTGCAGGCTTATCTTGCATACCCTTAGGCTTGTTAATGGGTTACAAAGGATGCCTCCAGGATGCGAGGGGGGGCATGATGAGGCATGTCTGACCTCCCTCCTTGTGGCAGGCAATTTAGTTTTAGGATATTCCTTTGGCCAAGAGGGGGTCCATTCAGTCAGCCGATGGGGGAGAGCCTTAAGATTTTATGTTAGTTCACACCCTGGAGGTAGACTGAGGAAAAAATGTTGAGGGGAAGGCGGCGTTAGCGAGTCTTCATTTTTATGTTCTACGTTTTTGAATCCGGGACTGCAGTTGGCACTCCTTATACACAGTTCCCCATCCCTGAATTCAACCAACTCCCCGATTGATTGAAAATATTCCATAACAAGCCAAAAACCCAAAAAACAATACTATTATAAAGAATACAGTTCACATAGCATTTACATTGTATTGGGTATTGTAAATCATCTGGAGATGATGTGCATAGGTTATATGCAAATATTATACAAGGGACTTGAGCATCCTTGGATTTGGGTAGTTGAAGGGAGCCCTGGAACAAATCCTCCTTGGATACAGAGGGACGAGTGTATCGGAAAATCGAATAAAACCTAAATTATATACATATGATTATACATATATGTGTATATATATATATATATATATATATATATATATACACATTTCCAAACTTGTTTGGCCACTCTCTCCAGAAACACTTTGCGTATCACTTGGTACACATACACATGTAAATGCAACATTTTGTAAAGCAATGCCTTGCTCTTACTCTTGCATTTTACTGTGATATTTTTCCTTCAGTTCCATCCTGAATTATTCTGTACTCAGTCTATTAAAAATACTGATTACTATGCATTCAAATTAATCTTACTACATTGTTAATGGATTGATTGCAGTTTGGAAAACAGAGGTATATAAATTCCCAGAGCTCACCCATAGACCCTCGAGGAGTCCAGGAGCCGGTGATTGATAAAAATGTACCTATCTGGTACAGTGTACACTATTCTGGTCATGTATACACTGAAAGCCCTGACTTCAGCATGATATAATTCATCCATGTAACAAAAAACACTTGTACCTCATAAATTTTTGTGAAATCAAAAAAGAAAAAGAAAAAAGAAAACTTTTGAAACTAAAAAAAATATTAAAACTTAAAACAAAAAACCAAAGAAATTGCAATCTGGCTAGCTAGTAATCATCTTTTGGGGGGTGACGGAGGGATGCATGGAGTGTTTAATTTAAAAACAAATGTGACCAACACTAAAAAATTGGTAGAGTTTAATAAAAATTCATATTTTACTTTAAAAATTGGCACCATTGGCTCAAATTCCCCTTGGTAATAATCTGTTTGAGCTGAACAACTAGAAAAGTCAATGAAACCTGGATTAATTTGTTTATTTGGAGTGGCAGGACATGAGACTCTGGAGACTAGGCATGATCACAGAGGAGAGGGAGAAAACTTGGGAAGAAATTGAAACAGAATGTAAATGAACTGACTGAAAAGTCACATTGGATTGGACTGGAAAACCAAGACAAACACATCTGATATGCTTAGATTGAGTTATGAATGATCAGGTGGGCTGAGGGATGAGTCAGAAATTTAAACTGGTACACACATACATACATGTACAAACATATATTTCAGTTTAAATATGTATGTCATTTTAAATGTACATATGTATCATTTTATGTATGTACATTCACATGCATATCTAATTTTATTTCTATCTTTATCCACATACGTGTATATTCACATGATTACATAGTGAGTATTGAGTCTGCGACTTTGCAATTTACATCCATTACTCTTAGGTGCAACAATGGACATGTCTTCCATATAGAAAGTGCTCAAAATTATTATTTCCTTTCTCTTGTAACTTAAATTTCTGGGGCTGATAATGCTTTGGCAGTAGTAATGGAAGGGTACTTCCTCTTCTCTAGAGAGCAACCTTTTTCCAGCTAATAGTGAGGATTGGAGTCATTTCCACAAGACCATAAAACCCGCACGTATGATGTATTCAAGACATTTAGATCAGAGAAGCTGATGCCTTGAGGTGGATGGAAATGCTTAATTTTAGGGATCGATAACATTTCAAAGATCTAAGCTAAGGCTACTGATACCAATTCTTCTGGATTTTTAGAAGAATGAGAAATTATAACCTTGCATCAACTCTCAAAATTGGGGTTTAGAGTTATTTTAATGGTTAATTTCCAGGACCACATCAACAGTTACTTTAGCAAACAAATGTATGTCATTGGGTTGGATACTCTGAAAAAATCTGTGAGGGTTTGGGCAGGTAACAATCACATGCCTCTGAAAACCCTGTTGTCCTTCGCTGCTAGTGCCTATCATCATATCTATTCAATATATGTCTAAATCTTCAAAACTTCTTGCTTGGCTCCACATTACAGAGGTCCCTTTCCTCGGAATACAGTCATTCACCAATTATTCACTTGTTCGGCAATAATTTTTTGAGCTTATTTGTGCTAGGAGTGTATGGCAGATGTGTGGTAGATGCTGGGGATAAAATGGTCGGTAAGATAGATCCGGCTTACCTTTGTGGAGCTTACAGAGCTTACATGGAAAAGACAGAAGATTAAACAATTCTAGTAAACTATTACGGATGCAATGAAAGGGAAGAACACCACGGGAACAACATTCCAGTCTGGGAGTGGGGCCGGGATAAATAAAGTCTTTCATTGGATACCATTTGTGCATAGGCACGGAGCTAGTGGCAAGCAGAAGAGGGGAGGGAGATGCTGTCCTTTACCTCCTGACAAAATGTATTTAAATTTTACTTAGACCATGTCTTATCTATGCTGCTTTTTCAATTTTCACTTGAGATCCTTAAACCTTAGACAAGTGTTTGTAAAATAAAAAGCAGATTTGTATAGTTTCTTTTCATCCAAATAAAAAATGCCCCACTCCACTGGGAAAACAAACCAGCCTATTTCACCAACGCCTTAGAATTGTGATCCAGAAATAACTGACTCATCCTTTCCAATCACTGCTTTAGGACTCTCGAAGTGATTTTCCAGGAAATTTCAAATGCTATTTTTCTATAAGGTTAACCACTCTATGGTGGATAGGAACTTAAAAAGTGCTGTATTTCTGTAAATAAGCAGGAAGTTGCTGTCTTCACATGGCTTGACTTCCCTGGACCGGACTCTGGTTCTGTGCATTTCTGCATTGTGGGAAGTAGACGGCTGGTACTTAAGAAATGTCTTCTTAGGTGAATTGATGGATATGAGAGTGAGAGATCATTTTAAGAGGCATCACCGCAATTCATTACAAGTGATTATTATTGCAGTGGTCCTAGGAGTTGGAGAGGGTACAGAAGCATGTAACAGCAACCTTTCTCTCAAGAAGTTTATTTATGTACTTAACAAAAAAATGCTATCTATTCTGTGCCAGGTACTGTTTTGGGCACCAGGGATCAGCGATCAACAGGACAGGTGAGGTCCCTATTTTCAGGGAACTTCCTACCTAGATAAGGGAAGACAGATATAGGTAAAAAAGTGAGCGAACAAGATAAATTTACATGCAGCTAAATGCTGGGAAGATGTCACAGCAAGACAATGTAATATAATATAATAGACAAATGAATGGGGGTGGGCAGGGAAGCCTACTAGTCAAAATGGGAGGTTTTTTTTTTTTTTTTTTCGTCGCGACAAAACAGAGACAAAGATTCAAAGTCAGAGACGAGGCTAGCAGAGACAAGCCTTAATATGCCATTAAGTAGCAATACAGGAGAACAAGAGTAACAGCATATTTTTAGGAGGAAAGGGTCTAGGGGTAGGTGCAGGCTTTCAGAGTGAGTAGGGGGGCAGGGAGAGTATTAAAAGACAACTTCCTTTGACTACCTTCCCTCTGAGTCATGCAGTCTGACCACTGATAATTGAATCATAGACTAACTCTTGCTTGTCCAGCATGCTGTGGAAACAAGAGGCTAGAATTGGATTTATGTTTAATACAATTTTACTTGGGGCAACTTTAGACTTACAAAAAGTTACAAAGATAGTGCCCTTCCCCCAGGTTCCCCTAATGCTAATGACTTAGGTAGCCATGATACATTTGCCAAAACGTAGACATTAATATTAGTAAATTATGGTTAACTAAATTACAGACTTTATTCAGATTTCATCAGTTTTCCCCCTAATATCTTTTTTCTGTCCCAGCATCCAATCCAGGATACCACATTGCATGTAGAGAATTTTCTGAAATATGGTTTTTGCCATTTCCTAAACAATTTGCATTTGGAAATAAATGAAGGGGGTGACTACCCACCAGAAGCTAACTTCCTTAGTCCTTAACACATTGTTTTGACTGGTTCTTCATTTTGCATGAGTACAACTTCTCCTCCTCC